CCACAAACAGACACTGACTTGACCGTCGGAGCTTAATCCGGGGGGCAACCCCGGCTCTTTCACAGGTTCTCTCCCTCCCGAGTCCCGACGAGATCGGACGAACGGATGACGAGTCGACCCACACCAACAAATATCATTGTTTGTATCCTGAGCTAGATGGCACAAACAAACCCTACACATAGAATATAGATTCTTCGCGGGAGCTCATCTCCATGTGGCATGTGCCCCTCTCGTGGCGACCTTATCTTATACATCATTCACCAAATAATAACAAACCTGCATTATATTTGATTCGTTTCATCATTTCGTTCAATCCAGCTACACTCCAAAATCAACACCACCACTCCACCTCGCCGATATTTTCCCTACACATGCAACATGCCACCCCCCCCTCAATAATTTTCTTCATCATCAAACCTTTCTAGCTTCTGTTTCAATAAACAGAAGAAATAGAAAGACTAAAATGTAATAATTAGCATGACATTTCTTCAAATATATCGAAATAGAAAACTAAATAGTCAAGACTCAAGAGGATCTCTGGTAAAACTAGTTGTTGGTTAGTGAGCTTACACATATACGGCAGAGATAGACAATATATTGTTTCGAGGGTCAATTTGTAGTTATACCTCCTTCGTGTTCGCAATACTTTTTGAGTGATAATGATAATCGGTCAAATTTGGACTGGATTAACGTTCGATAGGATAGTATGAAGTCATTTGGAGTCAGGGTGGACAAGGTCAATTTGCTTGCTATCTGTAAATAATTGTATAGCCAGTTGCGAGTCTGGCTCAATATTAACTACGATTATACGGTCGTGATTCTAATTGAAATTTTGAAAAACGGCACACAGTTTGACCATTGTTACGATGCAAGATCCAACCTTGAAGCAAAAAATTTGACGACTCACGTCACGCAGCAAAGCCCCTGTATGCTCTGACAATGTGTGGATCCTCATTTAACGTTACATGAATGTTAAACTTCAAATAGCGTATGCCAACTCAAATGCGAGAATGACTCTACTAAAAATATAAAAAAGATACGAAGATTTGATTATGTACAAATGCATAATAAGAGATATGCACCCTACCATTAACTCATCTAGTGGCATATAATAACCAACCTAACTCAGGCCAATCACCATCATCAAATTGATTACCAAGTTCTACCCCCACACATTACAAAACGGTGTGGCCTCGTCAATCCACATTCCACAGTAGCCAAATTCCCGGACCAAGCCCACTTGCTCTCGTTATTCAGTTTTTTATTTTATTTTCTTATGCTGCAAAGTGGTTGATGTCTTTTTCAGAAATTCTCCATCAACTTTCTACCAAAAAAAAAAAAAAAAAAAAAAATTCTCCATCAAGCGGCATCAATCCGGCCCGCCGAATGATAAGCTTTTCTACACCCGCCCGCATCCGACCACAAACCCAGAAGAACTTCCTAACTGGATTCATCTACTTCTTTCTTATCGAGACGGACATAGATCATGGGTCCCACCCACGAGCGCCACAGAGATCAAGTGCGGGCCATGGCTCCTTCTCACTAGGGCTGTTAATCGGTTGCCGGTTTATCGGTTAACCCGGAAACCGAACCGAAAATCGCGGTTACTCGGTGAACCGAAAACCGTGAATACTGCATCGGTGTCGGGGTCGGTTGGATGATTTGGGGTTTTAGGCTAACCGGCAACCGACGGTTGCAAACCGATATAATCTCGGTGCACCGCCAAAACCGCCGTTCCTCTTGAGACTCTCCCTCTCTGCTCTCACTATCGCCACTCTGCCTCTCCCTAGACTCCAAACTCTCCTTCTTCACTCGTCGCTTCTCCAAATCCCTTCAATCACCATCTCCCGCTCCCTCTCCTCTCGGCTCGCCCCTCTCCACCCTTTCCCAAATTGGGAATCCCAATCGCCAGCCACCACCATCTGCAATCTCTCCCTCTCCTCTCGAGCCGCCCCTCTCTACCCTTTCCCAATCGGCAGCCACCAGCCCACCACCATCCTCAATCTTCGCTCTCTACCGACGTTCCTCGGCAGCCACCAGCCCACCACCATCCTCAATCACCACTCGTCGTCGACTTCTCCGCCTCAATCGCCCCTGCCTGACTTCGCCCACTCCTTCCTTGTCGAAAGAGGTCGCCGGCTCGCTGCTACGGAAGGAGTCAGCGTAAGCAGATCCACCCACCTCGTTGCCGTCTCCGCTTCCCATTGCATGTCGCTCGATGGTCGCCGCCTTGCCTTCCTCATCCTCGGCGGTCAACAGCGAGATCCCGACCTACCCTTCCTTCTCCAATCGTCGTCGCCCTGCCGCTGCCACTGTCCTTCCTCCCTCTCCAGTCTCCCCTCCTCTCGACACTTTCTCCCTCCATCTACCTCAATTTGGGGGAGACCCAACTTGGGATTTTCCGCCTCCGATGCCTCTCTTCTTCCCCTGCTGCCGCTGCTTCAAAATTGGTGTGGGTCGGTCTCGGCAAACCGCAACCAAAAGCCGAAACCGACGGTGGCGGTTGGCGGTTAACCGAGAATCCCTTCGGTGTCGGCTTCGGTTGGCAGTGCTGGGGGATTCTCGGTCTCGGCTAACCGATGGTGCGGTTCGGTTGAAACCGAAACCGCACCGCTATCACCCCTACTTCTCACCACCCGAACCCGCACGATCAGGTGCGTCCAAACTACAAACACACAATTTTGTGGATCTCTTCCACAACTTCAGTTACACATCGTTTGGAATTCATTTTATTATAAAATAAATTACCAAATAGAATTTGTTGTGAAATGAAATTTTGTGTTTGGTATGTCATATTCAAATTTTAAGAAATATAATGAATTGTCGTGTAGAATTCATAGTCAAATGAAATTGTCGTGTTTGGTATATAATATATATAAGTAATTTAGTTAATAAAGAAGATAATTATCTCATTTTATTATAATTAGTAAATAGTTATGGAATTCATTGGAATTCATTTTATTATAAAATAAATTATCATATAGAATTTGTTGTCAAATGAAATCTTGTGTTTGGTATGTCATATTCAAAATCTTTAGAAATATAATGAATTGTCGTGTAGAATTCATAGTCAAATGAATTGTTGTGTTTGTTATGTAATATATATAAGTAATTTAGTTAATAAAGAGGATAATTATCTCATTTTATTATAATTAGTAAATAGTTATGGAATTCATTTGGAAATTCCATCTCAATTCCTCGGAATTGCTATAACTAATACCAATTTCAAAGAATTCAAAATTTAGAATTGAAAATGAATTCTTTTAAATACCAAACACAAAAATATTTCATTTCAAAATGAATATTTCAAAACTTATGGAATTCATTTATACCAAACGGTATGTTATTGTTAATTCGACATATTGATTTCCGGGGCAATTATATGAAACGTCACTAAAGTTTGGGATTATTAACAAATTGATACGCTAACTTTTAACTTTGATAGACAAGCAACTTATTAGTTTGAAGGGTGAAAAATACATTTTAAATTAAAGAACATTAATTACGAAATATTAGTTTGAAAAGATTAAAAAAATTAGAACGATAGAAAGTATTAATAAAGTATCACCAAAGTTGTTAAACCCCATCGTATCCTTGGTTGGACCCGATCCGACCTAAGTCGGGCTTCAAAACGGCCTCCAGAAAGTCCACCGATCTGACCCCTAAAGACTAAAGAGGGAGAAGAAGAGAGGGGGAAAGAACTAGAGTGCATTATGAAAATTTGCAGTCGTCTCGGCGATGCATTTTCTTTATGATCACAATTTATTTTATGTAAGTAGAATTATGCAAAACTTTAGTTTGATTTTTATCGATTACAAGTAGAGGTGTTCAAATGGTTACCGTGGTAATAACCAAACCAATTAAACCTAAATTTCATTAACCATGGAATACAATGTCTTAACCAAACCGTCCAAATTAACACAAAAACTAAATTAACCAACCCAAATTTTAATTGACTGTGTGTCTGTGTCTTCATTCAAGGCGGAAAGACAAGAGATCCTCGAGTTCACAACCAGACTCTCCCCCCATTTTCTTGCTAACTAGAACTAAAGGGAAGTAAGAGCAATTGCCTTTTTTCTTTCTATCTATCTTTTCGCTTTTTCTCTTAACCCGAGGCTGGATTTCTTTGAAACCTTGTTGAGGTGTTCGTCAGAAGGTAACCGAGGTTAATCGGATTAACCAAATAACATTACATTACATGAAAATAATTATCCTGTTAATGAATAAAACATAACCATATGTTATTACTATCATTATATATAAGCAATAATAATAAGACTAACCATCCATGATTATCATCGTCATTCGAGTTAATACATCATTCATCATCTCTGCATCTAATATAGTTAGCTTACCACAAACCCTTAACATAAATATTAAATACATACCAATACCACTCATCAGGAAGTTAAGACTCTCCTACAAAAAACTTAAACTATACATAGTTTGAGGTGGCTGTCATGGTATTGTATGTAATCCTAAAGTCTAGTAGTTGTCCAAAATATTTTGATTTAGTAAATAGGCAGACCCATTTAATTTTTGACCCATAATGCTTTGGTTTGTTGTGCACATGGAAATAAAATAGGGAATCACGAAAGTTTGATTTGGTTGGTTGCATGGAATTATAAATAATTTTGTATATCAGGTGTATCATTAATTGGTTAATTGGTTTCATTGGTTAGCAGTGTTGAAACCAAACCAAACCACCTAAACTAAATAAGCTATATTGTTTAACCAAACCAAACCAATTATCAAAATTAAGCAAACCAAATTAACCGAATACTACCGGTTAAAGGGGGAATGGATTTTTTTAATCAATAAATCATGAGATTTTTCGTGGTCTTTTCAACGGTTAGAAATCAACGGATAGGAGCAACAAGAGCGCAGAAATAAAGTACACCCAACCACACACAATAAAATTCTCCTCCCTCTCTTTGCCGTCTGTACACCTTCGCCACCTAGGCTGGCCTGCCTATCCCGGTTTCTGTTTCCATTTGCCTTCGTTTTCCTGTTTTCACCAGAACGAGCGAACAGAACAACAATAACCACTTCCTTTCTCCCTTTCTCCTCTCTTTCATTCCTTTCAAACTATATACCACCAGCCCCCACCGCCATAGCTAATAACTCGAAAACGCGGGAAGAAGAATCCGGATCTCCTCCCCCTTGACTTCGGTCCCGCCATTTCTGCCTCCCTTAACCTTCTCTAATCCTCACAAAACCAAAACAATTCGGGAATATTCTCCATACCACAAATTGCCTTGCACGTTAAGCGATTCCCCCCCTCCTCTCCCTTTCAATTCCTTTCAACCTCCGTCTTCCGGTCAGGTAGGCGGAGCTGCTGCTGCCTCGTTTCATTCCGTTTTGCTCGTCTCCGGCGAGAGTGATTCGGTGTTTTTTTCTTCTTCCGAATTCTCTTTTTTTTCCCCTTCCAAAATTCGTTCTGGTTTTTGCAAACGCCTCGTGTTTTTGACAATGTTCGTTGCTGGTTGATCTCTTCGGCCGGTCCATCGCATAAATTCTTTGCCTCTTCTGCTATATCTCACCTCCGCCTGCTTCTGTTATGAAGTTCGGAGGCGATTGTTTCTTTTCCTCTCCTGCCTCTCTTCCACTTCTGTGGAATTCCTCTTCAGCTTCTCAACAAGGTGCGTTTTCTCCTCTCCGGATTTTGTAACTAGTATTGATCTTATTTGCCATCTCTTCGATTCAATTGGCTTATGGTGATTGTGAATGGCGCTTTTGTGTTTGAAGCAGCAGAGGTTTGCGTTGACTTTGGAGGTGATTTGAGCTTGTATAGTGAGTTTGATGGGGAAAGCTGACGATGAGAGATGCGTTTTTCCTTTAACCAGTCTGCAAATCGGGTTAGTATGTGATTTTTGGTACAATTCCTCCGATCTCTGCATTTGAGAAGCAGGCACTGTTACATTCCATGTGCATGTATGAATCTAGGGGAACTAGGCAATCGCAATTGAGAATTTGGCTTGTAGCCTGAAATTTTAGGGATTGCTCCTTCTAAGAGGTTCTGACTCTCAGTATGACCTGCAAAAATTGGTATCTAGGCTTTGAGGGATGATCAACGACCTAAGGGAAGGTCATTCATTATGATGCTTAAAGATGCTCTTCTGTATTGGTTATCTATTCAATTCCTGAATTTTGTTTTGTCCTTTTATGATTGCAGAGACTTGCAGTCGTATCTTTCGGATCTTAGATTGTATGTGGCCTTCGAAAGTAAGAAGCTATACATCTTGGTGGACAACCGACCATGGTTGAGGAGCCTGGGTTCGCGGCCAGCACACTTGTGGCAGTTGATGGTTACAAAGGTGATGAATTATACTCATTAGAGCTATTTAGAATACTGTACCTGAGTTAAAGTCCTTGATGGTTTCAGTTGGTGACATGGGTTTAACTTCGTTGCAGTCAAGGTTATCTCCATTTGCAAACACCAAAGGACAGAGAGGGAAAAGGGAGTGCAAGGGAACTTCTTGTCCTCAATCTAATTCCAGCAAGGCAACGAATATTGAGAAATGGTTCTCACTGATCGATGCAAAAAACTTCTCTCAGAAGGCAGGTTTATTGCCAGTGGAGAAGTTGAGAAAGTCGTTATTCTTGAGCAGTGAGCTGCACAGAACACTCTATGGTTTTATAGTGTTTGAAGTTGCTTGGAGTAACGTTCGAGGTATTAATTACTTGAATGAACTTCAGGTATGAGGCCGCCTCCATCTTCAGTTTGCATTTTACTGCAGAGTTTTGTTATTTTTGGTCAATAATTTTTTTGAGTATGCAGACAGACACATCTCTGGCAGTCGAGGCGAAAGTTATGCAAAGATGGGAATTTGATTGTATATCTCAGGCATCAAGGTCTATCGCTTCTTGGTTTTCAGGAACATTGCCCGAGCAGTTGCAATTGAAGGAGTACCTGGATTCTGCTACAGGTTACTGCAGCACTCTCTTGAACTCGATTTATTGTTTTTATCCTTTTTTAATTAGTTTGTATCACATTACATTTGATCAAGACGTAGCGAGCTGACCCTATATTGTTTAGAGACTGTATTACCTGTTTTACTTTCTCTAATGTTACGGGAAATCCATTAAGCTTACTGTAATGCTGGAATGTAGACTTATATTGTAAGCTCTAACTGATGTTATGTTGATCTGTTGGGGTGTTCTACAGGAGATATATTCTATGATGCAAAACAAAAATTTTCAAGAACAGGTTCTTTCAATGATGATGATGAAGAGACCGTTGGAGGTAATAGGTGGTCTGTGAATTCCTCATCCAATAGTCTCAGTGATTCTGACGATATTCAAGATGATTCTGAGCCACACACACCTCCACCAAGTGGGCCCTACAAGAGAAGAAGGGTAACTAAGTCGATTGCCTCAGGAGTCAAAGTTGATTTTTATTCTGAAACACAGGGCAGGAGCAAAGATTTGTTGCACAACTCGGAGACTGATGGCAGCAGCAACAATTGTGAAAATGGTAGTCTTGAAGCTAAGCAGTACAAGGACGTGCTAATTCTGATGAGGTTTGATGACCATGACCTCCCTTTTAAGCTGAGGCAAATCATAATGGCTGACCTTCGGTTATTGACCCTCTTAGAGGCAGGGCTTCCGTCATGGGTAATCTTTCTGCAATCATATCCTGGGTTTTGCCATCTTTATCGCCCGTGGATGTGTCCGCTAGCTAGAGCTTTATACGTCTCCATCTCGATTGTCACTGTCATAATAGGCTTCTACGATCTTTACAAAAATGTTCCTGTTCTCAAGGCGACTGCATCTCGATTATGTGGGCCACTTTTTGACTGGATAGAGACCTGGGAAATGGTCTCCAGGATCAAGTATCTGGGGACCATGCTGTTTCTTCACAATTTCCAGAAGGCTGTCACCTGGTCCCTAATGATCACTCGAACTTTCCGGTCTTTCCTGTCGGTTTTCACCCAACCTCTGGTTGGTCCGTTAGTGGAATTAGTAGGGTTTCTCCTTCCATTGTGGAATGAAGTCATTGAAGTAGTTGAGCAGTTATTCTCAGTAGTCTGGCTTGTGGTGGGAACCACTTGCAATGTGGTTGGAGATGTTCTCGAGTTTTTTCTGTGGCCGATATGGGTTATCATCTCTTTTGTATGGAACTTTGGTAAGTCCTGCCATTCTTGTTTCTTGGTAGCTTTTTACTGCTGTTTGGCCAATGTCTCGTATCTGACTCTTCAAAAATAATTTGTGCTGCAGCGACTTCAATCTTATATCCCATCTTCTGGATTCTGTGGGAAGTGATCTACACCCCAGTTCGCATGGTTCTTGCACTAGCCAGCTTCCTGGCTGGAATTTTGGGTGTGATGGTGCAGTTGATTGTAGATGTTTGGCAATCTATGAGTAGCATAGCGCAGCTCGCTTCAGCATCCGAGGCGTCAGTGAACACGTACCAAGTTTCCATGTGGAAATCACTTTGGAGCGACCTTTTCTCACAGGTCTTTCGTGCCGTCAGAAGTATTCTGAATGGTTTTGTGGCTTTTTTCACAGCATGCAACAGACATCGCCTCAGGTAGTTATTTTTCGTTTGTTTGAATCCATTGAGTATATGTACACTTTTCGCGACCCCTACACTTCGTTGAGTTGACAATTTTGGGTTGAACACAGCATATACAACCATCTACAAGATTTCATCCGGAGACTACTCGGTGGAGCTCAGAGATTTCAGACTTTCGATTCCAGGCCTAGTTGGAAGTCATACGAGCCGCGTAATCTAGTGAGTGAATGCAATGTGCTGCTCTTTTAACCGATGACCCTTTACTCTGTAAAGGTTTTCTGATCAATCCGGTGTTCTTTTTAATTGCAGTCCGATTCATACGGGGACTGCAGACAGGGTAGCTCGCCTCGTCGAATGCCAACTGTGCGTATTTCCAAGTTGAAGAAGCAGAGGTGAGTCAAGTTCTCTACAATCAACACGAAATATGAAAAACCTTGGTAGCAGTTTTTGTAGGAGAAAGAAACAAAGAGAGAATAGTTTCTTATTTGTTTCTAACCAACACCGTTAGGAATAATCTTTCATTCTTTGCTTCCGTTTTTTGGTTTCTTTCCCATGCTAGTCCCTTCGTGGTTTCCTTTTCCCCTCTATTCAGCTAGTATCTCTTGTTTGTTTCTGAACAGTTCTGCGGTACTCATAGTTGTTGTATTGTTGTATCTTTGTTGTAAATAGCATGCGTATTGTAAAAGCCCTCTTCTATGTGCAGTAAAAAATAGAAAGAACCAAAATTGCAGATCATTACCTTGATTCGTTTAAGGCTTTGGCGACGAAGCATTCTGGTCATAGAGTTTATAGTTACTCAAACGCAACATTAACATACTGTAGCCACGACAACTTTTCCAAACGTCTGGCAACGTGAGATTGTATACGGAGGCGAGAAATTGAGATTATGATGAACCATCAAAACGTCTTAGTGTGTGTGGCGCCACTGTTTATTTGTTTTTCAATTTTCATTATCCAACTTTGACGCCTGCATTGCATGCACAACTGCTGAAAATGTTGTAGTGGCACCTATTGATGAGGCTCCAGTTACTGAATTCCTGGCTTAGAATGGTTTGCCAAATTCTTCATTTTTCGAAAAGAGTAGGAAAACAAAAGCATTGCAAGAGGTGCGTGGACGCCCACAAATACGTTGCTGGGCTGCTGGAAGTGGAACATGACTCGTGAATGAATTGGGAATTTGAGAGGATATAATGTGTCATGATTTGTATACGCAGTGGAATCGAGCGATCCAGGGAGCGATTGACAATCAGAGAAGAATGTTAATCATTATATCTATGGTTAGAAAACCCGCTTGAGACTCACTGTGACTTTTTTTTTTTTCATCCGTGCTTCGTTAATAACAGCTAGGGATTTCAAATCCCCAATTCCATTCAGCTCGACCGTTGGAAGAGAGCGGGACTCATCAATTGAAGAAAAAGAAGATTCGGTTTAACCAATACTCATCGTCTTGGCTTAAACTCATCGTTTTATCTTGTTTCCTTTACTGTGTCGTTTTTGCTATCTCTCTGTACTAGCTTCGCTTTTCTGTCAAGTTTCCTATTGTTTCCTTTTCAAGTAAAGAGACAGCTTGTATCATGAACTTGTCTTCTTCTGTAATGGCTTCAATATAAGAAGCAAAGTGATCAATGAGAAAGGCTTTAAGCCTTAGGGTTTCAACCTTTGTTATGGTATCAGAGCCCTTGACCTAACTCTCCTCCCGCCGCCATGGCTACCAACGTTAATGACAACGAGCAACAACCTCCTCCTGATCCCCAAAACCCTCAGAATCAACCACAAAACTTCTACCAACTCGAAGATCCTTTCTTTCTCCATGGATCTGAACAGCCTGGCCTTCTTTTGGTCAGGGAGAAGCTTACCTCTACCAATTACAACGATTGGAGCAGAGCAATGTACAATGCTCTTGCTGCCAAGAACAAACTTGGGTTTGTTAATGGCCTCATTCCTGAGCCAACCCCCACAGATCTGTTACATGGTGCCTAGGTTCGCAACAACATTATGATTCTTAGTTGGATACAGCAAGCAGTGGACTCAGAGATCAGAAAGACAATCCTCTCCAGCAAGACAGCTGCTGATGCTTGGAAGAGTCTGCAATCTAGGTATGGTTCTGGTGATCTTATTCGTGTTGCTGAGCTAGAAGAAGCCTTGTCTTCCTTACATCAGGGTAACCAGACAATCACAGAATATTATGGAACAGTCATCACCTTAAAAGATGAACTAGATAATTACCAACCCTTGTTTCCCTGTGATTGCACTCCAACCAGCCATACTGAATGTCGTGCCATGAAAAAAGTGCTTGAATATCATGACACAAACTATGTAATCAAATTCCTAAGGGGTTTGAATGAAAACTATGCTTCTGTTCGAGCACAAGTTCTGTTTGGAGAAGAGCTACCAACTATCAATAGGGTCTTTCAAAGACTCTTACAACATGAAAGACAGATCTATGGAACTCAGAAAGGAAAAATGGTTGCTACTGCTGCTTCAGACTCTCTTGCTATGGGTGTTCAAGGAAGTAACAGGAGGTTTACTCCATCTGGTAAAAGACCTTTCTGTACTCACTGCAAAAAGGAAGGTCACACCATGGACATTTGTTATCATATCCATGGCTGGCCACCTGGTATGACTCAGAGGACATCTAATCCTCCAGTAAGGTCCATTGAATGCACCTACTGCAAGAGAACAGGTCACACTGAGGATAGATGCTACCAGAAACATGGTTTACCTCCACACTTGGCTTCCAGATCTGCTTCTTCCAACCCTAACAAAGGCAAGCAGACTGTTAACTCTGCTGTGGTTGAGTCCAATGATCAAGAAGTCAAGTTAACCAAGAAGGAATATGACAAGATCATGGCCTTAATGAACAGTCACCATGGTTCTTCTTTCTCAGCAGCTGCCTATATTTCTCAGCCTCCATCTCCAGGTAAATTCCTTTACTCAATTCCCAGTAAAGGTCAGAATCTCAAGAATCCACATGATTGGATTTTGGACACAGGTGCCTCTGATCACATCACCTGCTCCTTGGCCTACTTATCTGACTATAAGACATTAGATAATGTCTTCATTACATTACCAACAGGGGCTCAAATCCAAGCCACCCACATTGGCACTGCCCATTGCAGTCCATACCTCACCCTTGAAGGGGTTCTTTTTGTACCCCATTTCACTTTCAACCTTGTTTCAGTGAGCAAGCTCACTACCAGCAAACCCTTTCACTTGACAATTTACTCTGACTTTTGTCTCATACAGGACCTAGTGATGAAGAGAATGACTGGTTCTGCTAGGCTCGTCAATGGTCTTTACCACTTAGAAGTAGACTGCAAACCTAAACTCCTCACTGCTGCTAGGGCCATTGTTTTTGATCTTTGGCACTTTAGGTTAGGGCATGTTTCCCATACCAGAGTCCCTTACATTTCTCAATTTTGTACCTCCATACACACTTTTAAAGATCAGCCCTGTGATGTGTGTCACTTTGCAAAGCAAAGGAGACTTTCTTTTCCAATTAGCCAAACTGTAACACAAAGATGTTTCCAGTTGCTTCATGTGGATATTTGGGGGCCAAACCCTACTCCTACTTATGATGGCTTCAAGTATTTTTTGACTATTGTTGATGACTTCTCACGAATGACTTGGATACTTTTACTTAAACTCAAGTCAGAAGCTAGACCCAAACTCATTCACTTTTGCACTCAAGTCCAAACACAATTCAAACAATCTGTCCAAAAGATTGGAAGTGACCAGGGTAAGGAGTTCCAGATGGATGATTTCTTCCAATCCACTGGTATTATTCATGAATTATCTTGTGTGGAAACCCCACAAAAAAACAGCAGGGTAGAAAGAAAGCATCAGCACATACTTGCTGTTGCTAGAGCTCTTATGTTTCAAGCTGCTCTACCTGCTGGTTTCTGGGGTGACAGTGTCAAACATGCTGTATACCTCATAAATCGAGCCCCCACTCCTGTTCTGGACAACCAAACACCCTACCAGAAACTACACAATGTCCCTCCTGACCTTACAGATTTAAAAGTTTTTGGCTCCCTGTGTTATGCCAGTACATTAGCAGGTCATAGAACCAAATTTGCTCCCAGAGCTAGGAAGGGTATTTTCCTTGGTTTTGTCTCAGGCATTAAAGGGTACAAGGTCTATGACCTGGTTTCTCATGACACCTTTTGTTTCACGAGATGTCATATTCTATGAGAGTCACTTCCCCTTTCAAAACCACTCTCCTACTCAATCTGATTCTACTGCTTTATTTCCCTACCCATTACCTTATTCTCAACCAGAAGATATCCCACCTACTACTTCATTACCATCATCAACTCCCACTTCTACACCACATACCAGTACCCCACCACCTTCTCCAGACCCACCATCAACTCCACCTTCCCCTGATCACACTTCTACCTCATCAGCAGGCCCTTCTGCTCACTCTCCACCCTTATCTCCTACACCTCCTACTCCCCCTCCTCCCCCTCTCAGACGTTCTGACAGACAATCCAAACCCCCAGTCCACCTAACCAAAGACTACCATTGCTATCTCCTTCAACAAGCAGGCAAACCATGTCATTCTCCAAATTCACAGGTTCAAGACAAAAGGTACTCTCTTTTCTCATCTATTTCTTATAACTCTCTTTCACCAGCCTACAAACACTTTGTTCTTACTCTATCCTCCTTTCATGATCCTAACACATACAAAGAGGCATCACTGTCAGCACAGTGGAATGCTGCTATGCAGCATGAAATAGGAGCTCTCCTCAAAAACAATACCTGGGATGTGGTCAACCTACCACCAGGTAAGAAGACCATTGGAAACAAATGGGTTTACAAAGTGAAGCTGAATTCAGATGCTACTTTGGACAAATTTCATGCCAGACTTGTTGCTAAGGGTCATACACAACAGGAAGGGGTAGATTATCAAGACACTTTTGCTCCAGTGATCAAGATGACTACTATGAGGTTGTTCTTAGCTATTGCTGCTCAGAGGAATTGGCATATTCACCAATTGGATGTGAATAATGCATTTCTTCATGGTGATTTAAAGGAAGAAGTTTACATGTCCCTACCTAAAGGTTACAATCCACCTCCTGGTTTTACCAATCCAGTTTGCAAGCTAAAGAAGTCACTCTATGGCCTAAAACAAGCATCACGTCAGTGGTTCTCCAAACTGACAGATAAGCTCATCAGTTACAAGTTTGTTCAAAGTCAGGCTGATCATTCACTGTTCTATAAAGCTACTTCTACCAGCTACACCTGCATTCTCATATATGTCGATGATCTTGTACTTGGAGGAAATGATTTACAAGAAATAGAAGCCCTGAAAACAGCTTTGCATTCAGAATTCAGCATCAAAGATATGGGGACTCTGAAATTTTTTCTTGGGATAAAGGTGGCCAGGAATGAAACTGGGATTCACATTTCTCAAAGGAAATACATATTGGAGATAATTGAAGAAGCAAATCTCATTGATTCTAAAACAGCAACCACACCAATGGATTACAAGCTCCACTTGTCTACAGAATGCTCTACACCATATGAAGACCCTGAGTTCTATAGAACATTGGTTGGTAAACTTATCTATCTCACAACTACCAGGCCTGATATAAGTTATGCGACTCAGCAATTGAGTCAATTCATGGCCAATCCTAGTGTACAACACTTCAAAGCAGTCCAGAGAGTCATTCGTT